GCTAGTTTTCGAATACAAGATATTCATCCTAATCACTATAGATGCCCAAAAAATGGCGGTGTTTGAAAAGGATTTTTTTTTTTCTTTTTCACTAAAAGATAAATTAGTTACAAAATCAAAAAAACAAATCGAAACAAAATATCACCTCAAACCCCATAATCATTTTATTTTTTCTCGCACAAACATCACATCTAATCACAAAAAAACTCAACTATCTTCTCAAACCCAAAAACAAATTTCTCCAATAATATCCTACAACTAAAAAACCCACTTTCCCAACATTCACAAGGTATTGAGAGTAAGAAAAAAATAGTTATCTCGGTAAACCTTATCAACATATTCCTATTCTCGGTATGATATGAGATAAGGATAGGTTAAGGGTATAATTTTGGCCCGGTTCGGCCCATCCGGGCTCGGGCCCGGCCTGGCCCATGTCGGGCCTTGCGTGCTCCCACCAAAAAATTGGGTCGGTCCGGGCCGGCCCATGGGCCAAAAAACTAGGTCTAGACCCAAGCCTAGGCCTAGGGGTATTCGGGCTATGAACGGGCCAGTGGGCCGGGTTCCTGGGCTTGGGCCTGGGTTCAAACTTTGGACGGGTCTAAACAATTTTTTTTTTAATTTTTTTAAATCTTTTCTACTAAAATTTTATTATTTTCCATTAAAAGTAGCACTGAGCCTCGGGTCGGACTTTTGGGCCGGCCTTAAGCGGGCCCACGGGTGGGCCAAGCGGGCCGGGCTTCAAAACGATGGCCCAGGCCCAGGCCCAAGGCCTCGAGCTGGGTTTGGACTCGGGCCTTAACGGGTCGGGCCCACCTCGGGCCGCGGACGGGCTTCGGGCCGCCCACGAGCCGCTGGCCAAAATTATACCCCTAGGGTAGGTCATTACAAACCCACTCTGTTGTCATCCCTATTTATAAAATAGTCAAAGTTGGGTTTAGGTTAAAAAGGTAATTTTCTGAGTTTAGAATTTCTAAAAGAAAATGTAAGGGAGTTGCTAAATACACCAATCAATTTTCTCATTACACTTGCTTGTACGATTGTTTCTTCATAAAGTATAAAATTGTTTATAATACATATAGTGTAAAGTAAATGAAAAAAGACTGAGACCCCCTCGGGACTGTGACCCCCACGACCCCTTCTTCTTTTCATTGGTCAAAAATATTTTTTTTTTTTTTTTTTTTTACTCCCCCACTCACCAACCCCCACGTGTGTGTGGGGGTGGTGGGGGTGCGAAACTGAGGGGGCCTGTATCAGTCCTGAAAGTAAATTATATTACTTGTATATGAGTGCAGGAAAATGATAAACAAACCTAATTTCTAGATTTAGTAATGTATATAAAAGATAATTGACTGGTAAGTATAAAAGACATGAGAGAATATTTGTTTTATATAATTTAATAAATTGTCACAACTATGAATTTAAAAAGTAAATCTAATTTTTTAGTTAGAGTAACACTACTCGTGAGTATGAATTTTTTTAGCTTGAAATTAAAAAGTTCGTTTGAATTGAATTTTTTGACTTTTATGAGATAAAAAATAAAATAAATATAATTTGAACGTGACATTTGGTCTTATTGATCTATTAACCTATTTGTTTTTTAGTTGCTAATTATGTCTCAACCCAACCCAATCCATATAACCAAATGAAGCCTACATTTGGAAGTGATAAATACTCATTTACCTCGCACTACAAGAATTTACACAATTGCCGACCACTTTTGCCGACCAAAAAAATTTTGGTCGCAAAAAAATGACATTTGGCGACCAAATATTAATTAGTCGCGAATGATTATTATTTTTGGCGACCAAATATTATTGGTCGCAAAAGGTTATATTTTGGCGACCAAAAAATGAGTTGGTCGCAGAAAGTGGTATGCTTTTGCCGACCAACTATAAATTTGGTTGCGGAAGGTCACATATTTTTGGGCGACCAAAAATTTGGTCGCCAAAAACTTATTTTCAACAACCAAAAAAAATTGGGCGCCAAATTAGTACATTTAGCGACTAATATTTTAGTCGCCATTGATTGAGATTTGGCGACTAAAAAAATTTGTCGGCGAAGGTACCTTTTCTGCGACTAATATGATATTTGGTCGCCAAAAGTTTGGGAAGGAAATTTGAAACGTGGAGGTGGGAATTAGGGCTGGGCATAGGGTCATTCGACCCGCACAACCCGCCCAGCCCGGCCCGGCCCGACCCGTACGCGTATGGGCGGTTTTGTAAATATAATAGGGTTGGGTGCGGTTTGAAATATTTCTAATTTTCGAATTGCGGGGGGGTTGCGGGTTTGAACCGCACCCGACCAACCCACCCGCATAACTTTCTTTTTCTTTTTTTCTTTTTTTTTTTCCTTTTTTTTTTTAGAAGATCTGGACCGTTCACTTCACTTCATCTATACCCAAACAAAACGAAGAAAGGAAAAAAAACCCTACACTCAAAAACACATTACGCAGCTCTCATCTCACACTCTCTCTCGTTTTTCAGTCTCTCACTCTTATCTCACTCTCATCTAATCAGTCTCTCATACTCACCCTCTCACTCTCATCTCATCACTCATCTCGGCCGATCAACCTCGCAAGAGATCGACTCTCACTCATCGCAAGATTGACCGATCGACCTCATACTCTCATCGCACCGATCGACCTCCCAGGTACGGATCTCTATGTCGCTGTCTCTGTCTCTCTTTCCTCTCCGATCTCTGATTTTTTTGTGTTATTCAGATCTGTGTCACTCTGTGTGACTAAGATTGTTTGTCAATGGTGATTTTTTGTTCATTTCTGTGTCAATGGTGATTTTTTTTTTTTTTTAGATCTGTGACTCTTAGTTTATTTGTTCATTTCTGATTGTGTGTTATGTGTCAATGGTGAGGACTTTGATAGTGGAGTCGATGATATTCATACTCCAAGACAGTGTATAGTATGGAATATGAATAAGAATACTCATATTTACCCAGAATATGTTGTTAGCTTCAAGGTCTCTTCTGATCTGAATCTGTTAGTGATTTTGGAATCTGAATCTGTATAAATTAAATCTGAATCTGTAATTTTGTTTGAACTGAATCTGTTAGTAATTAAATCTGAATCTGTTGGAATTATTTTTGATTTAATTTGATTCAATTTGTTAACTTTTGATTGCAGTGTTGTAAGATATATACGATTCTATTCAATTTCTTATATAGTCATGTGAGCACATAAAGGTGAAAGATGTAGGTATAGATATAGATATAACTGGTTTCATTTGACTTTGAAGATGATTCATGCATTTACTAGTTTTTATTTTTTTATTTTTTATTTTATTTTTATTCTGATTTCCAAATTCCAAGTTGGGAAATTGTGATGGCAGGTTTTGGTGGTTAGACAAGACCTAAAGATGGGAGTATGAAAGATTGCGTCCCAATGTGCTCGTAAGATATATTTCACTCTTAACAATGTTTAAGGTTTTGCCTTTGATTGCACTTTGTATCACTCTACGATCTCCGTGCATTGTTCGTTTCACATTTATTTGACTAATTATTTATTTTTAAACCTGCAGATGCTGCTGCTGGGATGTATTCAGAACTGATGCAAAGTTATGACAATGCTAAACACAGGATTACTTCATTTATTCAAGCCCTGAAATTTACTTTGATTCTAATAGTTTCTTTCCCCTCTTATTCTCTTTAATAATTAACATCCTTAATGGCAAAAACAATCTTTTGTTCATCAGCCAAGTACCTGGGAGACAGTAGTCACAAAACCAATAAATTTACTTAAAGGATAAACAAATAGATAATACAATTTTATGATATTTCACATAAAGTTTTAACGGTGAATGCATTATGCTAGGCACTTTACCCCTTGTGACGCAAGGTATAAGCCTCAAGCGTAAACATTTTGATTTTTATATTTAGTAAACAACTAAAATATGTTAAAATATTGTGTAATTAAATATAAAAGTGCAAATACATTTTCGCTCAAAGCATCAAACATTTCACTCTCAGAGAAGGAAGCTTGCACTCTTTACACGTGAAATCAACATTCTTAGCTTCAGTTTTCAAGCCTTAGCTTTGTTTTTTTTCTTGGTCAATAATTTACTTGATTTTTCTCATGGAATATTAGTTACAAAAAAAAGAGTTCTTTTTATGTTTTAAATAATGTATTAGACTTAAGTTTAACAACAATCCAAGATCAAGACTCCATATGCACAAGCCTTGAGAGGAGTGGTCGCCTAAAATAAAGCCTCAAGGCAAGCTCAATAATGCGGTTTTAAAACTTTGTTATGAGAGAGAATAGAGCAATAGCATTTTCTAAGTTTTGCATTTTCATTTCTTTTAGATGGATGAGATAGGTCAGTTCATGCTGCTCAAAGACCAACCTCAATAATAAAAAAACACTCTTAGCAATCGTCAAGAAAAGAATTTATCTAAGGAATTAAAGGGGGAAATGGTTAATATAGTGTATGAGGCAATATGGAGCCTAAAAAAGACATTTCAAAAACATTTAAAGCTATACATGGTCTCATACATATATCCGTAACTACAAAATGCATATACATTAGTAATACTATGGGGCACCACAGACATCACAGTATCATATTACTTGCATTACTTGCACCAACAGGACATAACAAGAGGATTCTATTAAGGAATCTGTAACTTGAATTACAACCAAGATTCCTACTAGTTTATCAAAAGAAAGAAAAGAAAATCTGTGAATGTAATCCAAGGATGCCAACAAAGGATTAAAAAGGTAAGCAACCAAATTAAAACTCTAGCATTTAGGAGGGACAGACTGCAATATGCAAAAAATAACAGTCAACATCCACTTTACTAGAAGAGATTGGAATAAGAACTGAACCACACTCAACAGCGGATCCGACTGTTGGAGTAAACCATCTAATGCAAAGGATAACACAAATCAACAACGTAGATCATACTTAGATTATTTCATTATGCCATTTCATTATGCCACTTAGATTTTTAAACCTTTTTTTTTTCTTTCCCATTTTTTGCATCTTATTTTGAACAGTACAGTAAAAAAAGCAACAAAGTTTGTCTCCTCCT